ATTAGGTTGGGAGAGACTGAGTGGAACGGGGACATGAAGTTTCACATTTGAGATTGTTGTGAAAGCAATATGAGGAGGTTTGGAGGAGTTATTTTGGGAAGTAATCTCGCTGTTTTCGGCCATGGTGAGGGGAAGAAGAAGACCGCCGAGGGGAAGAGGGTGTCGCCGGTGAAGAGAGCCGCCGTGGGGGGGGTCGGTGCTGACGGCGAGAGAGAAGGCCGAACGAGAGAGAGGGGGGGGGGGTTTAGGGTTTTTGATTTTTAGGCTCCGATACCATGTAGAAAAGTTAATTTCATTGATTGAATATGTGGGAGTACATGTCTATATATACACAAGGATTTCTAATCCTATACAAGGTAGGAGACAATAATAGGAAACAATATATTCCTAATCCTATACAAGGTAGGAGACAATAATAGGAAACAATATATTCCTAATCTTATACAAGGTAGGAGACAATAATAGGAAACAATATATTTACATTAAACCAAGCAATGGGTCTCTCTTCCTGCTGGAACTCCTCACAACCCCGCTTCGAACTACGCCGTTGGTTTGCTGTGTGTTCCTTCTCCCTGTTCCATTTGCCACAGTCAAGAGGTTGTGGAAAATTCTCCCTGTAAATTTATGGTTGTGCGGATTCGTTGCCCCGTAGGTGATGCTGATACTGATCCCACCACCCGAATCCATGTTGAGATGTTTTCGTCCGAGGAAGGTCAATGGAAAAGCTATGTGGTTACCTCCCCGGTGGTCTTACTATGCCGGAAACCTTTGAACTACATGGTTCCCTTTAAGGGGATGCTACATTGGCTCAATTACCCTTATGTTGTGGTGTTTGATCCTTGTAATGTGCCCGAAGAGATTTCTCGTGTCATTCTTATGAAGATAGATACCCGTGCCCGTACTCTCCCCTTCATTGATAGCTTTGGTGTCTACTATGGTCGTCTCCGTGCATCCCACTCTACCAATCCCATTTATCAATGTGTGCGGGAGCTTCAGGACTATGATGCCGAGAAGTGGAGTTTGGTGCATAAGTTTGATGCACCCGAAAAGAATTGGGTGCATTATGTCCATCTGGATGGAAACATAGTTTATGGGAAAATGAAGTCTTCTATATGGATTTCCAACTTGCTGACTGGAGGGATGGATCAAAAGTACGAGTTGGTCCGAGGTGTTCGACAACGTGGAGAACTATCTCATGTGAGTGCCCATCTGATCGGCAATGAGTGGTGGCCAACAACAGTGCCATCTATCCGCTCCTCTCCGGAGTGAATAGTTTATAGGACAAGTGAAGAAGACGAAGACATGGGCAACAAGTTGAAGAGTTTCATTCATGGTGATATATATTAAGGTCTTAAGTCTTATCCTGTGCAAGGAATGTTGTTTTGTTTATAATGTTCAGTTTCAATTTTGAGGCATTCTTGGCTGCTATTGTTTCTGTAGGATTGTTATTTTGGAACAACAACAAATACAACCCAGTTGAATCCCACTACAGTCTGGGGAAGGTGTGTGAACGCAGACCTTGCCCCTACTCGAAAGTAGGGAGGCTGTTTCCAAGAGAGGATTGTTATTATGGAAATAGTCTTTTATTCTTGTTCTCATAGCTAATTCCTCGTTGGCAAGATTCTTGTACTCCATTCTATGTTTGTTCATAATTTGGGAAATCGGCACGGCCGCACGGTTCGGTCGGTGTTTTTGGAGTACCTCCGGTGTTCTGTTCGTAAAATTGATGTTTCCTACCCCTAACACCCCACTAAACCCCCCACCCCCAACCTCCCCTGGGGCAATTGTGTGGTTATTATGCAATAAGCTCCTTTTTATGTGTGGTTATTATGCAATGATGCATAATAGCCACACATGTGTTAGGAGTAAGAATCATCAATTTTGCGAATGGAGCATCGGATGGATAATTGAGGATGAAGTGGAGAAAGGTGATTATGACTTTTATGAAATCAATACAAACTCTTCCAATCCAGTGTTACATGGAGGTTGTTGATGAGCTTTGGGAAAAGTTGGGTAGGATAAGAAAAATATTAATTAAACAGTTTTTTACAGAGTAAATGTGGTTGTGTGAAACATTGCTTACTAGCCACAATGGATTTAAGAGTAATCTATCAAGAGACAATGGATTTATGATAGGGTAGAATACCTAAATAGGACTAAAACATAATGACTTTCTCAATATAGAACCATATGTTTTTATTTTCCAATATATGACCATTGGTCATTACCTATTAGTCATTAATCAACTCAATGATGGGTCCTATTATGACCCGAGGTTTAAGGGTTAGAAGATCTTTACCGACTAATAATATACTAAGAAGTATCACGTTTCACAAAACAATTTCACTCTAACTTTTTGTGCATCCCACAACATATTTTTAACATCACCTAAAATCTTCTTGAACGCATCCCATTTCTTCTTTATTACAAGCAGTGGCAAAGTCAGGAATTCAGGTATATTGGGGGGGGGGGGGG